CTTTGCTGGCCAGGATTTATGGGATTTTGGGTTCAAAAATGTCTGGAGACCGAAGGCTGGGAACCACTGCATGTACTCTATGGTCTTACAGGACTAAATGTTCTGGGAGGACACTCTGGCCCTCTCCTCTTCCATAGAGAGCAGCTATACTATATAGTGCCACTGCAGTTGCCACTGAATTTTGATGACAGCATGGTTTCCACTGGGTTACACAAGTGAGAAGTTGCCCAAAGTCCTTCAACAGGAAAGTTTCAAGCACAATGAGAAAATCTAGGGGTTCTTCCTCTTTCTTTGCTCTTAGTCCATCGTGTAGATTTCCTGAATTTAATTGGAGCTGTTATAGAGTTTGACTGTTGCTTTATACATGCGGATTCTCTATTGATCACTCATTTCCAAAGCCCTTGGTGACCTGCAGCTGGATGTGTGAAGGGGTTTCACTGCAAATCATAATGAAACCTTAATCTAATCTCCAAGGGACCTTTCACTTTCTCCCACACTCAAAAAAGCAAGACCAAAAACCCTCCAAAACACCTACTTTGCAGCCAAAACCTGACATGATTGCATAGGTCCCTTTGATGCCACACAGAGCTGGCACAGCTCAGGAGACAGAAATGCTTCTTGACCATGATTCCTTGTGGAAACAAGCATGGAGGAAATGCATGCAAATACATGCTAAAATCCAGCTAACTGCACAATCAGGCTATGTATATCTTGTGTATCTCTCATGTCCAGCAGCTGCAGTAGTAGTTGTTAGTAGGGCTTGAATCGCAGGTGGCCTCACCTACAAAATGCATGGGAAGATTTCCCAAAAAATGTGTGGCTGAAAATTGTGGAAGTCTTAGCATCATGTGCACAAGGAGATTTTTTTTCTCTTCATGCCTTATACTGCCATGGGTAGGACTTGTTCGGCAAGAAGGTTCATGAGTCATTATGCCGGTGACCTACCCCTGCCTCATCCACATAAATGGCCCATGCATTCACTTGCCCTTCATCCCTGGCTTTTTGGTCCCAATAGAGTGCAAGTGCAACATCCTTACAAACAGCTATGGGCTGAGCCAGTGATCACTGTTGGCTGCTGGGAATAGGTGGGGCCATCCTCCTCTAGCAGGGCTCTCTTGAGTTGTTGCTCTGCTTGAGCCCCTATGAAAGCCACTTGCAGGAGCTTGCAGGTGCATCAACCTGCAGCAGCCCTTGCTGGTATCTAGCACTGAACAAGCAAGGGACTCCATGCATTGCGCCCGTGCTTTCTGTGCACACAGCTGACATGTCCCACACAGAAAGCCATTCATTGCTATCAAAACTGAACCAGGACTACCTCCTCCCTCACATTTCTTACCTGAACACAGGGCCACGATGAGGGTGGGGCAACTGAGGCTTTGCCCCAAGGCAGCAACATTTAAAAGATGCTGAAATCTACAGGTGAATCTACTCATGAGTAGAAAGTGAGTGGCAACACCTCCTAGCCCTATTCACGATCCCTGTTAAAAGCAGAATAAGCTTTCTCTTCCTTTTGTGGGAACATGACTTTCTTCTCCTTTGAGAGGACTTGCACTCATGGCTCAGAGCAGAGGAGGTGGGAGACAGTGTGATTTGCCCTGGGTTCAAAATGCCTAGTTATAAGGCTCTGTTTGACCTAAGTTCAAACCGTTCCTGTGTGTCCAGGGTCTGCAAAACGAATGCAAAAAGGAGAAGGCACCTTTCAGGTTAAAACAGGGCCATGTGCTCTGGTGGGTGTGCTTCCTTCCATGATGTCTGGGAAGTACAAGAGCAAAAGATATTGGTATCCCCCATTGGACAAAACACCTCTAAATCTTCTGTACGGGGAAGACAGAGCCAGCCCCATGCCCCTATAAAGCAAGGACTGCGGAGAAAGGACGATGTGCATTTTTGTGTGGAAAACGAAGGCTATGTAAAGGCCTTGGTTTCGGATTTGTGGGCTTAGGAATGGGGGTTTGTGAGTGGAAATTCAATTTCTGTCTTTTGGGCTGGGCAGGGCTGGGGGGAGAGAAATGGCAAGCCATAAAACAAATGGAACATGCCAGGCAGCGAGGAAGGAGACACAAAGAACTGGCCTCTGTCGGAGGCTCATGGCCGCCTTCTTACTAAACTGTTATCTCTCCATCTAGTGATCACAACACGCATAGCAGGATGCCAGGAACGCAGAGGAGGAGAAGGAAGGAGAGAAAGATCATCATCACAACGGGATGCAGGTCTAAACTAGATGCTCTGTCAAACCTGGAGGAGTTTCTATGGTGTGAACATTCAATATTTCTTTTCTCTTTCTTCTTTGTCATTTCTGGCAGCCAGTTGAGTGGGGTAAATTCTCCCCATGCAAATATATATATAAAAAACCAACAACCACCTCTACTTATAATAGCTATAGTATTAGAGGATACCCAGTGTGGTGTAGTGGATAAAGTGATGGACTAGGACTCAGGAGGCCTGGGTTCAAATCCTCGCTCAGCCATGGAAGGTCACTGGAGTAGGGATGGCTGGCCCTGGTAAAACCGCCCCCTATATGACTCATTTACCTTGAAAGCTCTACTAGGGTTGCTATAAGGCGATTCCCACTTGACAGCATATCACTAAAGAACACAGGAAAACATGGGAGACATGGAAAAGAAAAAGATGCACTTAGGGATAGCCCGGTCACTTTATGCTGGGTGATCAGATTTGTATTCAAGGCTGAAGAGGAAGTGCCTCTTCCTAGGAATTTTTATGAGGCCATTAGCATGTTCTCCCCTTCAAAGTGAGGCTGTAAAGGGTTACCCTCCGTCTCAGCTTGCTTGATGATTTCATCACATTGCCAAATTTGATTGCCTACATAGATAATCCCTGTTTGGTTAGGATCACATTCCTAGTAAAGAACTTTCCCGACCCAGATATAAGCAGGAGCAGCAACAGATCTGAGCAAGTACACACAAATATGCAGTGGATTAGGTAGCCAAGGGCTTGGAGGGGAATAGTTTGCCTCCCTAAGGCTCTACTTTATTCACACGTACCACCTCATGGGAAACAGGCGAATGTTTGGCACAGCATAAGTTTCAGTCTCACTTTGCTCTTTCTCAAGCCTCCCATGCCTGTTGTGATGACTGTGTCTGACACCAGACACTGCGGAAGATCAAAAGGCACAAGAGTGACTCACACTACATTTGACTGTCTCCAGAGCCTACTGGAAAAACCTAGATGAGACCCACCTTGTGAACTCTTGACATAATTAGCATTCAAAAAGGATGGAGCGATTTGGAGTCCTACACAGCCTTCAGTGGTGCGCCAAGAACCAAGGACAGTGGATGGGCTGGACTTGGCACAGCGCTCTTTGGAGAGGCCAGAGGCACTGTCTTTCTAAGAAACTGCTCTCCTTCACCCTTGGCTTTTTCCAGGACAACATGTGAAGCTGTGAGAGCCAGTGCAGCGTAGCGGATAAAGTGCTGGATTAGAACTCTGGATGCTTACATTCACATGCCTGCTTGGCTGTGGATACTCACTTGGGGGTGGTGCCTCTAAACCACTCTGTGAACTTCTCTTGTGCCTTGAAAACCCTGCCATTTTTGTGTGTGACTGTGTGTGCACGTGTGTGTGCGCACGTGCGCGTGCATGCTGTCAGTTCAATTCTTTTCAGGGTTTTCCGCGTGCATACTGTCAGTTCAATTCTTTTCAGGGTTTTCTAGGTATAGAGTACTAAGAAGTGGTCTACAATTCCCTTCTTTGAGAGGGACTCCTGGGACTGAACAGCTTGCCCAAGGCTACACAGACAGGCTCTTCTGCACAGTGGGGACTTGAACTCCGAACCAAATACCTAACTCACTGAACTATCCAGCCAGCTGAAAGCCCTACTAGAATCATGGTAGGTAGGTAGCCCATTGACAGCATACAACAAAAATATGTTGAAGTGAGAATGTCAATCATGATAGCATGGTGGGCTTAGAACCCCAGCAAATGTATGGCTGTGCTGGGTTTGGTGCTGTTAACCATGTTCAATTATGATGTGGAAGTAACCTGCATAGGAATGGGCAAGATGATGAGATTGGAGTCCAAAACATCTGGAAGGCACCAGCTTGGTCTCAATATCCACATTTTACATTGCATTTTGATATTATGTGGCGCCTGGAACTGCCTCTTAGCATTCAGGAAGTGGAACAGCCAGCAGATAACTAAGTTTTAATCTACATATTAGTCTATGAAGTGATGACTCAGATCCTACTAGCACAGTGGTTCCCAATCGTGGGTCCCCAGATCTACTAGCACAGTGGTTCCCAATCGTGGTCCCCAGATGCTCTTGGACTACAACTGCCAGAAATCCTGGCCAGCACAGGTAGTGGTGAAGGCTTCTGGGAGTTTCAGTATTTGCAAATATCAGATTTTTTTTTCAAGCATTTTTCTTTTTCACTTTTCCTCATGACACCTTTTCAAATGGAAATACAGTGGTGCCCCGCATAGTGAGGTTAATCCGTTCCGGATTAACCTTCGCTATGGGGAAACATCGCTAAATGGAACGGAAAAGCGCATTGGAACACATTAAACTTCGTTTCATGCATTCCAAATGAGTCCAAAACTCACCGTTCTGCGGCTTCCCCATGTTCCGGTGGCCATTTTGGGTGTTCCGGCGGCCATTTCGGGTGTTCCGGCGTCCATTTTGGAATCGCCGAACAGCTGTTCCCCCATCGCAATGCGATAAAACATCGGTATGCGATCGCATTAGCGATCCCAAAATCCGCATCGCTATGCGGATTCATCGTTAAACGGTGCGCTCATTATGTGAAGCACCACTGTATTAGCAACACTTTTTCCATTGGAAATTTGCCAGGTGGGTATGCACATTTGAATACATTCAATACTAGAGACATTGATTAGGCCTGGAGAGCGTAGACTCAATCGACTCCTCAATAGCCTCCAACCCCCACCATCCCTTACAACTATAACAAGGTATATCTATCTATGTCCGTAAGAGGCAGACATTTTATATGGCTTTTCACAGTGTGACAACGTACATCTGAATGACTCATTCTTCCACTCATTTTTTATATGTTAGAGTCAATACATCATGTAATAAGCCATTGATGAGACCATTTCCATGCCATCACATCTGCAGGTCGTAACTCAGAAGTTGTATCTGGAACTTCAAGGATGCGGTAAGATGCGATCTGGGTTCTGGAGCTGTATTAAAATGATTGCGTGGCTAGTTCATTATGAAGTATGTCATTCTGGGCAGAGTTCACCCATTAAGCATAATCCATAGTGGGAAGTTGTCAGGCTGATGATGCTTCATATATTCTTACATAGTCATTATGACAGACAGTGCTCTCTATTTCTGCAAATCTTCTAGGTGATTTTATCCAACCCATTTTCTAAAATGACACAAAAAAAAATGCTCTGAGCAAAATGTTGAGGAATGGAATACAGAAATGAATGGACAAAAGACGCCGATATATTGATTGGTTAACACAAATCTACCACTTACCAAGTTATGGGGGAAACAATGTAATTGCATTAGAAAAGGAAGATTAAATTTTAATCAGGCATATGTGCTTATACAAGCCACTTCAAATAGTGTTAAAAATTTGACATAACTCCACGGCACCGTAGTTGAACAACTTACAATCACGCCTCTGCTCGTGACCTGAGTTCCATCCTGATGGGTTCAGGTAGCCTGCTCAAGTCTGACTCAGCCTTCCATCCTTCCAAGGTCAATAAAATGAGTGCCCAGCTTACTGTGGGGCGCAAGCTGTTTCTTACATGAGCCACCCAGAAAGTGCTCTAAGCAGTAAGGGGCAGCATATAAACAGAAACAACCACTGTCTCAGTAGGACAGCTCCTTTTCAATGGTGATGATCTGATTCTATAATTCCTATGTGGGAAAGAGATGGGGGAGAAATTTTTTTCAAAGGCCTCAATAATGCTATAAATTTAGGCTTTTCGGAACTCTCACTTCTCTCAAGAATTCATGAGGAAAAAAGATGCAATTTTGAAAGCACAAAACGTGCACAAAACAGTTCGTGCATTTTTTAAAAAGCCATTGGCAAAATGCATAACCACGGGTAGAAAATATGGTCCAACATGCTTTAATCAACAGAGCAAATGCACTGCACCATATAAAATGCAAAGAAAAGGGGAAAAAACCCAAAATGCTTACAAATATCCATGTAAAGGAGGTCGGAGGGGGAAAGAACCTTCATGAGGTCCCACTGTGAGAAGAAAGCACAGGTAAGATTCAAAGAAATGCAACCAAACATTTCAAACGGAGTTCTACAAAACTTGTTTTATGATTCAGCTATTTAGTGCCCTTATGCCAGCCCCTATGTCCTGTTTTAAAACTGACAGGGCTGAAGTAATAATTTAATTGGCTAACAACTGATTTTTAATTTCTTTTCATTATTTGTTTTATAGCCAATCATCATCATCATCATCATCATCATCATCGAACTGCAGAGCTGGAAGGGACCCTGTGGATCAAGTCCAGAAACAACCAAGGAGGCACTAGTGAAGAATCAATTCCCAGCCTCTGCCTCTGCAACCAGACGCCTAAACCACCGAGCTATCCTGCAGTTCATATCCTATACTGCCCTGGATTTTCAAAATGTTAATTTAAAAGGTGGTTGCATATGTTAAACACCCCCCAATCCATGATTCATGTATATTATATGCGTACCTCATTCTTTCTCTATCATGTCCAGAGGTGTTTCCACATGGAACCAGGTGGTATTCCATTCAGACATTGCTTTAAATCAATGAAATCAGTGGGTTTGTCCTGTGTGTTTTTCCTTCATCAAAGGAACTATAAAGAGAAATATAAGATACAACCAAGATTAAAACCAAAGGTTCTTGAACAATGTGCTGTGGTAACATAAAGCTTCCCGCCCCCAAGCAATGTATGAATACATGAGCTACGTATAATAAACAACTATGTTTCTAAGGGCTAATCCACACAATGATGTTGTCCATGGTCATTCTGGAGTTCTTCTGAGTCATAATGGAATCTGGGTCGTATGAGGCAAAAAGTTTTTTTAAAATAGTTGGTTATATTAAGAAAGCCATTTAATGATAATACAGGGGAAAGATCACCAAAGTATACTCCTAGTGCTGGTTTCCATGCACGTATCCTATGCTGACAGCCATTTTCTGCCTTTGTGTAACTCAGATGGGGGACTATCAGAAAAAGGTGGAAGGAAGGTAACCTGAGACTAACAGTTTACATGTATACCTAAAAAAGACAGTGGGGCGGGGGGGAAGCTGCACTATCCACCTACTTATTACCCATGGTGTGTGTTAAACAGGTATGTTAGTCCAAATTATTTGTTCTTTTTCCAGATCAACCACGTAGGCTAAAACCAAAACAACATAATAGATAATGGGTGGAGGGGGGGGAAACACTCATTTCTGAAGGCACTTCTTCTGAAACCTTGCCTGACCACTGGTAAAGGTGTGCATTTCCCAGGCAAGGCATAAAGTAAGCAATATAGAGAAGAGGGGCCCTCCCAACATTGGTATGTGATGATATGATGTGTGTCTGTTTGCCTCCAAATAAGCACATAAAAACACCTCATTCCCCTGTTCCTGCCTGGAGTAAATGTGCTATAGGACTGTCCTTATTGTTAGAAGTCAAATGTTGAGTTATATGGAATTGTTGAGTTTTAGAACACAAGGCTAAAAATAGGTTAAAATGACCAGCCTGTGTCAGTATATTGTATCATCACCATCTCTCATTAATTTCATGTTAAAGTACATTTGAGTGGTCATTCTGTTCTGCAGTATTCTTGATGCATGATATATTTCAAGGCCTCAAGTCAATGAAAGTTCAAATCCTGAGAGTGAGTGGGATTGAGTTGGTTAAACACGCATTTTTCAGGGCAGAAACCACAGCTCTATGGGAGTGCACCTACACTGTATGTGAAAGGTCTCATGTTCAAAACCACATGGAGAACTCCTGCCTGAAACCTTGGGGGAATTACTGCCTGTTTCTACAGACCAGGTACAGGCAATGCTTGAAGACTTGGAAACTCCACTAACATGTGCATGCGCACTCACTCACAGGATCCAAAGGGGCTGCACCTCCTGCCATGACTTCCATTGCCAATACCAAATATTCTTGCTGCTGCAAGAGCAGGAAACTCCTCTCCCAATTTGCTTTAAAACAAGATGTATACTGATCGTGCATCTTGTTTACAAGTGGAATTACACTTTGAAGAAGTTTGCGAGCCGACTTCTTTTAAAGAGCAGAGAACTTCCTTCAATAAGGGTATGGAAGAAAGGATTTTCCCTACATGCATGCACACTGCAGACCTGATCTAGGTTTGGAGCCCTTCCCTCCCAGTTGTTTGTTGATTTTTCTAAAAAAAAATTAAAGATACACAAGCCCAATAGTTTAGTTATGTAGTTGTATCAGGGTAAGCCTAAGAGCTAGAGAGATGGGTGCAGTGGAAATGAGCAAAGTGGGCTAGAACAGAAGAATGGCGTTCACAAGGATTGTTTACCATAAGTCCACAGCCAGTGCACTTCCCTTCTTACAGACTCCCTCTCAGCTGGGAAAACTGGCATGTAGATATTCTTAGCTGCCTTGCATCAGGCCAGGCCAGCCTGGCCTCCCACAGTCCTAAGTCACACTTTGGCTAGGTCAGGCTGAACTTCTGGAAGGCTTCCAGTTCTTCTTTGCTCAGCGTATTCATGTCAAGTCATTCTCAAAAGGGTTGGGCTGACATCACACAGCCTGGCTTTGCCCTTATCAAGCAGCCGGAGGACATTTTGTCTGGGCAGAACTGCCAACTTGTGAAATTAAAATCCTCTGGCATCTGTGAAGGGCTGGGAAGGAAGACCTGCAAGCATTTTTGTGCACGGCTGGAGCCCATTGGGGGGGGGGGACAACAACAACCTTGCTCGTCTACTCATAAAGAGTATACAGTAGCTGGCTTGAAGTTTACAGTTCTTCTCCCTCCAAGCCATACTATCCACCATATCTTTGAAAAGTTCCTTTCTTGGACTACAGCTCTCAGAATCCCACAGCTAGCCACGCTGGCTGGGGGAATCTGGGACTGCAGTCCACAAGGATAACCTTTCTGAGCTTTTCTTTCCATACTACTGTATACAGTATAGCAGACCTTCAATGATCACCAGAACCAAGATTGTATCAGAATTGGATACTTTTTTTAAAAAAACCTTGTTACTGTTCTTGTCCCAAGCCCCAAAAGTAATTACCCTCATTCTCAAAGTAACTAGACAGTACATTTTGATTACTTTATAAATGCTAAAAGCCTGTGGCTAGTGGTATAAAACACAATCTCCTCTAGTCTATCTCATTTTCACTGCAATATCCACAAGAGAGTCCAGTGTATTTTTTACCCATCTTTTCTGATAAAGCGTACTCTTTTTAATGTTACATTTGTCTTCTTGCATCTTTTAGATCAAGTGTTGCCTTCACTGATTTCAGTTGTTGAATTATCTGTGCTACTGAACTGATAATGGCCATAAAAATCTTTCAGTCCTATTTCCTGGTCTTGCAAAAACCTTCTCTGTAAGATGAAGAATTTTCTTTATGAATAGTAAACAAGAATAGAATTCAAGCTTTTGCATGACAGCAAGCGGTCACTTCCTTTGGGCAACATAATCTGAACTTACATTTCCACCTTTTTAAAAATATCAGCAAGGTTTTGTAATTAACACAAACAGTTCTGGTGATTTTCAAGTGCTCATCGTACAAAATGTGCAATTTTTCATGTGCAAAAATATTGTACGAAGCAAAATGAATGGGTAAAAATATTGATTGGCACCCTCATGTCATCTATAGCTTTTATAACAACTAGACAGAGACAATGGTTATCGCAATGGACATGTAGGATTTTCCTTTGATGTTTCCGTTGAATTAGGGCTGACACTCCTCCTTATTGGCTGCTCAGCAGTTGCTCCTCTCTAACATTGTCTTAACAACTTGGATAGATTTTAAAACACTGGCAGTCTCATTTTTGTAAAATGTGCAGTGTCAAAAATTATGGTAGGTACTAAAAATAATAATCATTACATGCCATCAAGTCATTTCAGACTTAAGGAGACCATTCCAGGGTTTCTAGATATAAAGTGCTCAGAAAAGGTTTGCTTTCCTCTTCTTGGATCACTTCCGGGGCAGGCTGGTTCTCCAGGGACACACAGTGGGGAATCAAACTCCCAACCTCTAGCTTGACAGCCAGAAACCTTGCTCACTGAGCTATCCAACCAGCCTGGTGGTGACTATGCATACCAAATATTCAGAAACCTTGCAGTAAACCTCTTGCAATAATCTTCTTCTTCCTCCATCTATATTCTTCTTCTTCTATTATTGTCCTCTTCTCCAGAACTGCATTGATTCTTGATTTGGAGCTTTCCCTTTTCCTCTTGTTAACACATATTCCAAAAATCTGCCCCATAGATCATAAAAATTATTGTTTTTCAACTTTCCTTTCTTAACTTTTAAATTACAGGTTAGCTTATCATTTATAGCTATATTGCATATTTCATTATACCATTCATCCATTCGAAATTCAGATTTTGATTTCCATTGCCTAGCTATTATTAATCTAGCTGCTGTTAAGAAATTGGTAATCAATTCTTTAGTCATCTTATCATATTTCACATTCTCAAATATTGATAACAAAGCTATCTCATGATTAAATTCTATATCTTTTTCACATATGTCATTTAATTCTTTAAATATTAGTTTCCAAAATCTTTATACTTTTTCACATTCCCACCACATACGGAAAGTATGTACCAATCTCTTTCTCACATTTCCAACAGACATTCAGATAACTAGCATTAATTTTATTTAATTTTGTCGGTGTTAAACACCATCTTAAACCCAATTTAAATTTTTTTCTCTTATTCTCACTGACATAAATCTTAAAACCCTCCTTTTCCACATCTTCCTCCTTTCTTTCTCAATTATTCTTTTTCCAAAATTTTGTTCCCACATTTACTTCAATCCTTCTTTCTCACTTTCTTCTTCTTCTAAGTCAAGCAAGAATCCATAAATTTTACTCACTGTACCCTTTACTGAATCAGTCATCTGAATATCTTCATATTATAATAGACATTGTTCATACTTCATGTATTCTGTACCTTTGCTATATTTCTTTACCAATTCTTTCTAATTGCATATAATTCAACCATGAAATATTCATATTCTGAAGGATTTGTTTCATTTGATCTTTCAATCTCATTTTATACAACCAGTCTTTCAATCTAATCACTTTTTTTCTTTAAATAATTCTACATACACTTTCATATTGACAGGAAAATTCTCTATTTCAGTCACTAATCATAGTGGAGAGTTAAATTCATTCTATATTTATACCATATGTTTGACATTGTCTTTAATAATGGGTTATTAATTTCACTTATTTTATATTTGGTTGTTGTGGGTTTTTCAGGCTCTTTGGCCAT